AGAAACACAATTACTTGAGCCCTCAAAATTGCCTCCTAGAGTTTGCATTAGCAAGAGATGGGCATCCAATCTAAGCACCCCATTATAGTGGATGGAATCCTTGAATGACATCTTAACCCCTTGAGTTTCCTGCCTCCATTGGTGCACAAATTGGAAACAACCCAGATTTCTACCAATAAAGGATTAAATTGTACAGTTTTCCATAAATCCACCTAGTGGAATACTACGCAACAAAAAAGCAGAGCTATTTCTACATATTACTATGGATTGATACCCAGCATTTTAGTGATAAAAGCTAAGCAAATAAAATTTGCAAAGTATGCTATTGTGTAAGAGAGGAAAGCTACATATATAGCTTTTACTATTTTTTTAAATGGAAAAAGCTATCAGGGATAGAGATATATGAAAGGTAGAAAATGTGGTAGAGACAGTAATTGAAACTAAATTTGTACTTTTGATTTTTTAAAAGATTTATTTATTTTTATTGCAAAGTCAGGTATATATATATAGAGAGAGAGGAGGAGAGACAGAGAAGACTATCTTCTGTCCAATGATTCACTCCCCAAGTGACTGCAATAGCCGGAGCTGAGCCAATCTGAAGCAGGAGCTCTTCCAGATCTTCCACTTAGGTGCAGGGTCCCAAGATTTTGGGCCATCCTCGACTGCTTTCCCAGGCCACTAGAGGGAGCTGGATGGGAAGTGGGGCCTCCGGGATTAGAACCAGTGCCCATATGGGATCCCAGCGAGTTCAAGGCGAGAACTTTAGCTGCTAGGCCATTGCACCAAGCCCTATACTTTTGATTTTGTAACAAAATATTTAGCATGGTTATAGTATAAACTCAAACAGAAAAATAATCCTTAGGAATCCAAAGAAAAATGAAACAAATGAACCTAATGCAATTGAAGGAACAGTTGAACTAATTCAAAGGACCTGAAAGCGTAACATTTGGTACACTGTTTATGGGCTAGGCACTATGGACAGCAAAGGACTCAAAGAACTATTAAAGTTGTCCTGATAGCATTAATATTGTGATCTTGAGGCTGTTAGGCATGTAATATGGGATAAGGCAAATGCCTGAATATGTTGTTTGTGAGAACCAAGGTACTTAACTGTAGAAGAACAAGAGTAACAGATACGAGATGGATGGTTTCAGCAAAAACTCCGTTGGCCTGAGTCTAAATAAGATTTGCCAGTCTGAACTCAGGGTATATGCCATCCTCAAAATATGTTTATACATTTTCTAGCCCTGTCTACTGAAAAGGCTTATAAACAATATTCAATCCAGTGCAAAGAGCACCTCCAAGTATAGAGATTTTGATCTTGAAATATATTGAAATGCTTACCAAATGGAACTGGAGCTCCTTGGAGAAATGCCTGACTCCTTATCTGGGGCAGGAAATGAACAAGACAGGCCTGGAACATCTTGTCACACCAGACGACATAGTCGCTCTCAAAGACGACTGTAATCTGTCAAAAGGACTCAGGAGCCAACCTGATCAGACTCTCGCTAGCCACAGACGGGCAGTTTGAACATCAACAAGGCAAAACTATAATGGAATGAAACCCATCAAATATGTTTAGTCTTTGGGTTTATAAGGATGCTTTAAAATAATCCCAGTGATTTCCTTTGGAACATAAAAGCTAAGGAAGTCACTAAAAATATTTAAAAATTGAGCCAAACAAAAGAATCAGAAAATCAACTATTTTTATTTCTTGTCTTAAAAATTGTATGATAAATCATCCCTGTTTGTGGAAGTAGCCCATGAATTAATGAAGAAGCATTGCTTTTGTAACTCCTAATGGATAACTCTAAGCATTAAACATGAAAAGCAACTATGAACACGAGAGAAAATCCCAGCTTTAGGTTCCGACTGATAAAGTCCTCAACCCCATCAAATCAAGGGTCTTGTCACACCTGAACCCCATAAGCCTGTGGATCTAACAAGATCACTAGGTAACAGAGAAACTAGTCAAATGACACCATGTAGAGTTGATAAGGAAAATTCAGACTACAGGAAATTTTAAAATAATGTTTTATCAGTGACAACAACACACTGCAAAGAGGAAAGAAAAAAAGAAAAAGATGGAGTGGAGCCAGCATGGTGGCCTAGGCTAAGCCTCAGACTGTGGTGCCAGAATCCCATACCGGTGCTGGATCTAGTCCTAGCTGCTCCACTTCTGGTCCAGCTCCTTGCTTACAGTCTAATACCACAGTGGAGGATCGCTCAAGTCTTTGGGCCCTTGTGCCCACGTAGGGGATCTAAAAGAAGCACCTGGCTCCTGAATTCAGGTCAGCACAGCTCAGCTCTGGCCATTGTGGCCATCTGGGAAGTGATTCAGCAGATGGAAGCCCTTTCACTCTCCTCTCCTCTGTAACTGTGCCTTTCAAATAAGAAAACAATAAAATCGTTTTCAAACAGAGGGATGGAAAATACAAAGGCCCTGTGGTGGAAAAATGTGGCTTTTTTGGGGGAAATACTATAAAAGATCATGGGGTTGGGACATGAAGGGATGAGCGTTTATGTATTGAGGTGGAAAGAGTATTCAGGGCTAGGGACTGTAGGGCTGATAACCATTGGCTAGGGTGACTACATATCCAAGTTGCCTCCAAGGCTGCCATGCCTCCCACCAGCCATAAAAATGCACTTCTTGCTTTGGAGAAAAAGGTCATGAGGGCCTCCTGTTTATAGGAAATGACCATATTATATAGAGTTGAGTCATGGTGTGTGGCTACTTATGAACTCAAGAATTATATTTCAGTCATTGGAAATTTTCCTTGCTCCACGTACCATTTGCCTTGATGTTTGTATTTCATCAAGAAAGCACTATTTACTCCAAACTCTGTCCCCTGCTAAAATACAGATTCCTCTGGGATGGATAATGCTGAGTTGTCGGTTATTTAACGCTAACATAAAGCATTGAAGAGCAGTACTTCTGGGAAGACATTTCAAAACTTGGGAAATGTAGTTAGAGTGTTCTTGTATAGCTGGAAGGAACTTCCAGATGGGAATCACTTCAGAAATGGGAAACTGAGTATGCATCAGAACAAACTATCTCACAGTTGGTGTGTAGGACTCTGCTTCCTGGCCATACTGATTTTGTCTTGCCAAGGCTTATCCCTGGGGCTCTATTTTTGTTGAATTAGCACAGGTGTATTCTTCCTGGCTCCTTCTAAAACATAAAGTGTGAAAGAATTTGGAGTGTGTTAGGTAAACAGAGAAGTGATTAGAACACATTGCTCTTCCTGTTGCAGTTACTCCGTGATTGACTCTGCGTGAATCTGGCAGATGTCACCACTGTGGATGGACTGTCACTGAGATGGTGATGTGTTTTCCTGAAAGTAGTGATGTGCTCAATAGCTCTGTCCACAGATGGAAGCATTTCCTTCCTCGCTTGGTTCCCATGACTTCATGTGGGTTGCTTGAAGTCAGCCATAATAAGAATGTTTACATCATAGAAATCGGCAAATCCTACACTTTGAGTTTATTCTTCCCAGAGAGTTGATTGTGCAACATTTACCTGCTTATCACTGGTATGAAACCTTAAAAAGTGAATTTTAAGATATGCCATAGCACATGAAAACAAAATACTCATTTTCTTGTTTCTCATTTTTGAACAAATGCCAGCAGTATTCCAAATTATATTCATTTTTGCATATACCTTACACTTTAGCTATCATTATGTGTGCATATGCAGAGTCTTCAGAAATTTCATAGATGATACATGTCATAAAAATCTATATGAAGATTTCAAAATATTGATGAGGACTGATTATACTCTGGTGTAAAGCAATGAAGAAGCACCGCAACACTCCTACCCTGAGTCTTCTTTCCCTTTTTCATCTATATGTAAAATTAGGATACTTTGTCCAAGCATGTGTTAAGAAAGAATTGGTCTGTTACAACTCAAGATGCTTTGAGGGTCCTTGATGATGCCATTACACTGTTTCTGTGAATGGAACCTACTGTGGGGTACATGAACTTTTGGGGACCTGAATACCTAATGAAAAAGCAAAAATAATCAGATCTTTTTTCTTGCTCACTCATGCCATGAAAGAAGACATTTCTGTTTTGTTGATTTATTCATTGATTGTGAATCACCTTCTTGTGCCAGACACTGTTAAAGGCTTCGATGCAAAGGTGAATTAACCCTGACTCTGCCCTTCAGAGGTTTGCTCACTGGAAAAGAGGCTGAGAAAGCAGAGGACATGCTCACAATCTCAGGCAAAGCAGAGCCCGGAGGCTCTGACAGTGACCCACATGAGTGCGCCCATTCAGCCCCGCCATCTGTCCCTGCATGAGACATTCGCTATAACCCCTTTCAGTAGACAGCTTTGGACTGAATGACCTTGGAGACAGCTTGAAATCCTGAGCTTGGAAGGGTGCTTTTAGAGTTACTGGTCTGCACTTATGTGCTTCAAATAGCATTTCCACAAACCTCTAATTATCTTCTCTTACCAGGCTGCCTAAATGACAGACAACCAAATCTTTAGTCACTCCAAGAACGAATTTCTGTCCAACCCATGCCCAGGATGCATTTAGGATGCCCAGAACATGTGTGACTGCTCTGAGTGGCATAGAGCAATTAACAGAAGGCAGGCAATTTGCAAAATGCCTCAACTTCCAGCTCATCTCGGAGGCAGAAAATTTTCAGAGCTTAACCTCAGGAGGCTTCTCTGTAGAATTACACCCCCCTCTACCCAGAGCAGGAGCAGAACCTCTGGTGTCAGATTGTCATATATATATATATGGGTTTTTTGCAAACATAAGCACCAGGCTGAAACAACAGCTATGACTCAGTTCTTAGCTAATGCTGCCTGAATTGATTTAGTCTGAGTTCAGATTTAGCACATAATCATGTTCAATTTGCTCCACTGCACTGCCTAGAGATAAAAGGCTTGAGAAAAAAAAATAGCTTCAGCTTGTGTCAGTCTTTGTGGTGATGTCATTGCCATGAGAGAGCCGGGCCGTTCGTTACTCTGCTGTGCTGCCTCAGACGCGGACTGCGTGCAGTGGGAGCCGGTTCCAGGTGCCCGAGCCCCCAGCCACAGTCCCTAGGGCAAAGCAGCAGCCGGCCCGTCCACAGCAGTATCTGTCTGGAGGCTCTTTTCTTCACTCCTAATTCTGAGGTTGCCTAACTCCTTTATTGCAAATTCACGAAGGGGAATGCCAGCCCCTAGCATGGACTGTGATGTTTCCACTCTGGTTGCCTGTGCGGTGGATGTCGAGGTCTTTACCAATCAGGAGGTCAAGGTATGCACCTGCAATCTTATTTTTCATTGTTGCTGCTACTAATGCTGGTTGTCAGAGCCTTTTTAATGTAAGGAAATAAATAAGACTTTGGTTAATAGTTTTACATTTGCAATCTGTCCTTTAGAAAAAAATGTGTGCAGCAAGTACCTGGTTACATTCATTAGAATAAGTTAGGAAAAGAACCAGCATATAGAGATAAGGGATGCCATTGTCTTTTTTTTTTTTTTTTGCTTGTTGTCTTCTCTATTAGGTGACTCCCCGTTCTCTCCTTATCAGTAGATATGTTTCCATATTTTTCTATCTTTGTCAATGAGGAGAATTTGCAAGTCTGGAATATCAAGAGGGTTTTGGAAACAATAATTAGACAAGGAAAGTGCGCATAATAAAAACCGCATCCAGGGCACTGTGATGGTGGGACAATAACCCCTTCACGGTCCATCACTTATATATCTGGTGATATGGTTTCAAATTGAACAAAAGCTGCCCTACAGATGGCAGTTTCAATTTTCAGTTCCCTGGAAACTGAAGTAGGAGAGCAGCTGCTGAAATTTTCTTTGTCAGGCAGAAGCAGCAAATCATTTCCCTTGAAAAGAAAGTTCAGGCATGGATGTATTTTGCATCTTAAGACTTAGCGTCATGTATGCCAGTACCCTGGATCTGCAGCAATTGTTTAATTGTCAAGGGTAATTGTCCTCTCATAATATTCTTATTTGTTTTCCCCTCGTTTGAGTTTATATGATGAAGGCTTCATACTTATAAAATTGGAATTTAGATTTCCTTTTTCATGTTTAATGGAAGAATTCTCATAAAGCTTCTTATTTAAACATTCTCACACGCAAACACACACACACACAAAGGACATTTCATTGTTTATGACAGGATGGAAGAAACAGGGAATTATATTGCATAATTATTTACCATCTGCATCTTAGTTCTTATTTAAAGGAAGATCCTGAGTTATATTGTTGGGTGTACAGGTGACACCTGGTGCCTCCCAGGTGGGGATTTACATGTTACTGGCAGAACACATAGCTTTGTCATTTAAGATTTTAATTTTGAATAATCTCTTTCAACAGAGTCAATGAGTCTTGCATAGTTTAAACATGTGACCCTGTATTTAATTTTGATGCTGGTGCTGTGAAAGTGTCTAACATCTGCACGCTAAGGTTCAGAAAATAAGCATCAAAGGGGTTAGCGCTACTTGTGGTTACATCCAGAATAGAAACGTGTTCAGAGACTCCCAGTCCTCAGTCACACCATAAGCCTTCCAGAAGAGAGAGTCACTGGAGGTCACCAGTTTAAACTCATCTTACAGGGCAGGATGGGGACCTGGGCAGAAACACTTTGCAGCAACCCCTGGAGCAGACTTTGATGCATGGAGAGTAAAGTGTCACAGCTCCACTCTGTCTTCAGCTGGTCTCTGTTGTTTGTATATTTGCCTGAGCCTATCATAAGATATTCTAAACTCTTAGTTCACAAACTCACATTGAGGGAATCTGCATTAGAGACCTATGGTGTAGCAAACATGTGCTTTTACAGGAATGAGTTTGAAGTATATCTATATGAGATCCAAGTATACTTTTTTTTTTTTTTTAAAAAAAGCCTGTGGAAAACAGAGTTAAAAGCTGTTGACTTTGGTGCATGAACATTTTGCAATCCTACATATGGAGGATTGTACAAAGTTCATGTTTCAAGAGTATGCCTCATGGAAAAATGAGACAAAAATAAGCATGTCTTTGAATTCCATCTCCATGAACTTTTTGAAGTTCCCCTACATTTTTCTCTGAAAGACATAAAAGTAGCCACTTGTCTGTATTTCTTAGACAATATTTTCTGGAATTCAGTGGCTACAAAATTCTTATAGCTGGTTGTGTCCGAGTGGTTGGGATGGTTTCTTGGGAAGAAACGGCACTTGAACTGAAAAATACGTAAATTTTATCCAGAAAGAGGGAAAGCGTATCATTGCAGTCAAGTGAGTCAAGCCATTTGACTGCAGTAGGTTCTCTGGGGGAAATGAGAGGGAACGGGAAAAGAGGAAGACCAGAGCCAGATCATAAGCAGCTGACGCTCTTCTTCAGAAATGTATCGGGTTTTCCTGGGAAGAGTCCACCAGAAAAAAATGTGCTACAAATTTTTCCTGCTAATGGCTCTGAATCATGATAGGTTTGTTTCTTTTGCACCTGATGCCCAATAATTTTGGTTCCTTAGTGTTTCCATCTGGGATGTGAAGATAATAAAAATGTCTACCTTCCTGACTTAGTAGGAAGATTAAAGAAACTGTATGTGTCAAAGCCTGAGTCACAGTGAATGCTCAATGTTGCATGTCACCATCATCAACATTGCTATCTCTTTAGACATTCTCTGAAGGTGGTAGGTTATTTTTGCCACTTTACTGGACTGTCTTTCCTCTGAGCTTACAAAGACAGTCCAAGACACAAAAAATATTTTGTTCATCTCACCCCATAGCCCCCCCAACACTTGTTAGCAACCTAGAAAATATGGTCCTCCATTTCAGAACTTTAGTCATAATGTGAAACAGTGGCATTATTATCAAGCCTATATTTTTTAAAAAAGAAAAAGTAAACAAATTGAGCCAAAGAATTTTGCTGAACAAGCCTATGTGCTCCTTGCTCAAAACTGGCTATTACATATGCTCATAAGAACAATTTCAAAGGTAAAATTTTGGGTGTACATAAAAAATTCCCTCCCTCCTCCACATACCTCCTTCATTAATTGCCTCTAATGGATCAGCAGTGGAATGTTGTTCATAACTTCAATATTTACTGTCAAAGAGAAGTACAGGATAAGGGTCCACCTTACATGCTTGCATCCCAGCTGATCTCAGGCCCGTTCTTTCTACACGAGCCCCTGCGCCATGGGGAAGCAGCCACTCCAAGGAGGTGCAGCCAACATAGTAGTTCATTTGAAGGGGATGGAGACATGAGGACATAGAATGTCACCTCTTCCGTGGCAGAATTCAGCTGACCACAATGAGGCCAATTCAGAGTTGTTTCCTAGAACAGTAGTGTTAAAGAGAGAAGAAATTAGGCAAATGGAATTCCACCGTATCTATCTTCCTCTGGAAATTCACTGGAATTGTTGATTTAGTTGCCTGTTTTGTAGTATTAGGGTGCTCAAAAAGATCTAAAATCTGAACCCCTCAAAAGTAATAATAATATGAAGCAATGTAGGATTTTGTGTATATGTATATCTACATAAGATATATAATTCTCATATTTCTAAAATCGTCATTTCACACTCTACAAGAGCCAGAGGCGGGGGGCGGGGGGAGGTAAGCAAGGGAAACAAGGATGGGTAATGAAACTTGCATTTCACTTGATTCCAGCAGCTCTTAACAGTGACGCCACATTGGCAGCTCCTGAAGAGATTTTAGAAATGTAGAGGATGCCCAGGCCTCAAGCCTGGAGCTTCTCGCACAGAAAGCCTGAATGCAACCCCTGTACAGATGAGCACAGAAAACAGTGTCCTGTCTCTTGAAGCACAGGTAGGATTAGTCGAGGACAGCATCAAACTGCAGAGTAGCCACTGGAATGTATCTCTCACAATAAGATTTGCTGTGTGCAGCTTATGAAGCAATATTTCTGGGCTATTAGAAATGTTGACACTGACCCAAGACTTTTCCTCCAGTTCTTTACACCTACAGTGGTTCCCCCTTTCAAGCCTGCAGGATGTAAACACACTTTTTGTTGTTGGCAGCTGTGGGGAACCTTCTCAGCTACAGTGGCTACCTAGAGCCCAGGATTCCAAGGAACATCCAAACCTGGAGCTCCCCCTTCTCTTCAGTGCTGGCTTCCAGCAGAAGGGGTGGGTACTATCAGTGATGGGGGTTCCTGATTCATGGCCCAGTTATCCAGCCTTATCTGCCCATGAGAACTCAAGATATGTGACAAGACTTGGGTGAAGCACTGACTCTTCCAAGGTCTTTGGGCTGTGGGAAATGTGCATTCATTCAAAAGCATGTGTGGGACACTTATTGTCTCCCAGGCCATGCTCTGGGAACTAGGAAACTGGCAAGATTGGTATCTCTCTACTCCTGAAGCATGCATTCTAACACAGGAGGCAAACAATGAGCCAGTGAACAAATCAGCATGTACTGAATCTCAGAGTGGTAAGGGCTGTGAGGCAAAATGAAGTAGAGTGAGGAGTGGAACATCCATAGCCGGAGGAGTAGCTACTTCTGAACAAATGGGTAATGGAAGTATTTGTAAGCAAGTGATTGTCAGTGTTCCACAATGACATTGTCGGCATTTCCCACAGGAAGTGAGTGTGATAACCTGTGTATAGACTGGGAGGAGGGCCATTCCATGTGGAGGGAATGAAAAGTGGAGAGGCTCAGGCCCAGCACCCCGTTTTCATCTGTTTTCAACATTCAGTCTTTTCTCTGGAGACCTACTGTGACTGTCACTATCTTGTGTTGTAATTTGTTTTCAGAATATTGTACTCAACCTATTTATCTTACGTTGCCCTTTAAGTCTGTTGGATGTCTTTTGGGGAGGAAGAAAAATAGAAGCTGTGTGCAGCATAATTCTTCATGGATTAGAAACTTAGGTTTGCTGTAGTTCAGGTCTTTTCTCTGTTTTCCTTGATTAGCATTATTATTGTTGCATAAGAAGTGATGCTTTAATATATTTGTATACATTGCATAATAATCAAATAAAGGGAAATTAGCATAAGAGTTTATAATCATTTCCTTGTGAAGAGAACATCCAGAACCAGTCTACTAGTATATTTTGAAAGATACAATGTAATATTTGCTAATTATAGTCGCCCTCTTAGGCTGCAGGACACCAAACCTGCTTTTCCTGTCAAACTCTAGCTTGTAGCTGTTCACCAACCTCTTCATCCCCATTCTCCTTTCCCCTCTGTCTCTGCTATGTTACTCTCAGCCTCTAAGAACTTTTAAAATTCTACGTATGAAAGAGATCATACAATATCTGTCTTTCTCTTGTGTTTTTTTTTTTCCACACAACTTGATGTCC